CGTAAGACCTGTCATTAGGAACCATGACACATTACTAGTGATGGTAGAAGCACTAATGAGCACGGTGTTTAGCGTACCTCTTGCATCAATGTCAGAACCCTGTAAGAGGTTAAATCGGGTTAAATTTTGGATTCATGTTTAGCTTCTGATAAGCCCATTTGTACGATCAAACTACGAATTAGGCTCACTCGCCTAGTTTTATTGCGAGGAATTATAGAGGTGCAGGTCTTATAGAGTCGAGTAGATAAAGCCGTTTTAGATGTAACCAAAGATTTTTTACAACCGGCATTCGCCAGAAGAAATATTTCAGTTATAAGTCCACCATTTTCGTCTTTGAGAACCTCTACGATTGCATTCTACTAGCAGCAATTTAACAGATTTAATCAAAATACTTTATTTTGGCGCATTTTCTACTTTCAATCATGGTTACTCGTGCTCATCGCCCAGCCTATCTGTTAGCTATCTTTGTGTTGTTCATTTGTCCAATTTTTCGTGCCTGTTTCCAAAAACGCGAGTGATTTTTCTACAAGAATTCTGGATAAGCTTTGAGGTGTTTCTTTCTTTCTATGAGGGACAGACGGTTTTACCAACCTGAGGATGTATCGCAGACTGCAAATGCCTAATATGACGACTAGGGCTTGTTCCGTATCAACGTCCGAACCGTTCTGCAAAGTATTTTGTTCGTCTCCAACCAGTTAGCTTCTTCGTTGTGCTCGTAAAAATGATGTTAGTCATTCTGAACTTTTGAACTGTTAAGTCGTACGCCAGTCTTTTATGACCAGGTTAGATGTCGCAACGAAACTTATGATGGATGGTGTTTGTATTGGAAATTTTTAATGTCGACGACGCAAATTCTGTGTATTTTTGAGCTGCGGAATTCCACAATTTTCGATTATGTGTTTTTTTTGTTTTGTCCCGTCACTCCAGTACATGAAGTGCAAGAGTGATTTTCTTCCACAGACGTCAATGAACCTAGTGTACACGCAACTTTTAGTACTGCTAGTGGTGTTGATAGCGGCCGGAAGGTATCACCTCTTGATTTTGGGGACCATAGGTCTATGGGGTCTATGCGATTACTGTGGTGTAATTAGCCTGCAAAGATCAGTTGACACTCCGATGACTGTATCACTCTGAGTGGTCTTGTCTCGCTTTGAAAAACCCAAACATCGGGACAGTTTATGCGACTTTACAACAGTACATGTAGTGTCTGTAGTCCGTTGCCACGTTTATTTACCGTTTTTCCTAAACTAACACTATATTTTGTAACCGTCGTACATATTTTATCATAACGTTTGTTTTATTGTACCAACCATTACATCAAGAGAAAAATGGTACCAATACACAAGTTCCCGGCGCGATATTCTGACTTCTCCCTGAATCAGCTGAACCAGTGGGACTAGATCTCTGTGCGTGTGTAAACTGTTAACTCCCTGTGACATTTTTTAGCTGTGAATAACTTTTCTATCGTGGAATATACTACTCACACGCGAATCATTTGTGGAAAATTTCTACAAGTGGATATTTCCTTCACAGCCGCACTGGGATCGGTGTAGTGGACTACTGGACCTACGCATTAGTAAGTCCTTATCGATTGCTTATTCTTTTCTTATTGTGATTTTGTTACTTTGCTCGTTTATTTCATCCAACACACTAATAAGGTCCTAAGTCCACTGCATATACATGTCTTCAGGGTGAACATCAAGCGAGGAAAAAATCAGTACGCTCTACGACGATTTCTGCAAAGTACTGCCAGACGACAGTCACTGTAACAATGACGTATGGGCATGACTGTGTGTGAAATTCAGCGTCGATAAAAGTTCCAAAATTAGCCACCAGTTCTGGATGTGTTTTCATTTCCCACAAAATCAAGTGATTGTAAGTCCATAAACTCCACTTTCTACATGAGCATCTCCCGCTGGTGATGAGTGACTGATGATCAACTTTAAACAGCGGAATTTTCTCATAAGTATTCATGTGCAATACAAAAAACACTGTGTGGTTTTAGGTAACCACACCCTGCTGAAAGTGGGAACCGATGATCACATTTACTCCTGGAGCTTTTCAACTTCAGTGTGTGATGCTGAAATAAGTGGGTACGGCAGCTCAGAGTTTATTAAACAATGCGGCAAAAACACAATGCGAACAATGCACCACCTACAAAATTACGAGAATGAGTACTCACGGTGACTGCTCGGGTGGTTATGTTCAATGCACTAGACTTCATTATAGTTGGAAATGATGGGCCATGAAAAAGTGCGGCAACAGGAAATTTCAACTCACTCATCCCCTCTATGATGGCATCTTGTGAGGGATCTCGCTGCATCACCTTTCAATGGCATCTGTTTTTCCATGTGTAACTCGTCCTGAATGAAAAGTGTCAAATGATTGAAGAGCGCCAGTGTGAATGGCCACCGAGTTCTTATAACCCAGGTAAAAACCTATATGTAACTGTGGACCGCGCATTTTTGCCATGTCGAGCTCTTCCCATTTTGATAGAGATTTCTTGGTTCAGCACACGTTTGCCCGGCCAGAATTATCATTTTCTGATATTGGCGCAAAAGTGATTCTCCTTACATGATGGCTCTTTGGCGTCTTTTGGCAGCCCCTAATCTCATCCTCGCCGGTTGGTCACCTGTCAGGGTTTATTCGAGTACACCTTGCGGTAGTATGACTGTTATCGGACATAGGGTTTTCCGATACTCCCTTGAAATTTGAATCTATGTTCACAGTATTTCGAAAGTATTTTCCATAGATTTGCATACAGTGCTCCAGCATAACAGCTTGCACCTTGGAGGTCTCTGATCCCTATCACGTTTCCGTATAAAACTTTGACATGGGTTTTGTGGTGTTTTGTGCCTTTGTTTTATTTCCACTATAAAACTACGTATTTTATCAATTGCGCAACCATCTTTTGCTTGGATAAGAAAAACTACAAAAACGCGCACTTGGACAATTTCAGGCAACACAAACGTGGTCACATGTTTTGACTCTCTCTTCTAAGTTCACTCGCGCCTACAGCGGTCATTCGCGAGTCTCATGTGCTAACTCTGGTACCGAGACACTTCAGACTATCTTCGTAATCTATTGTATGTGGGAGCTGTTCAGGAGAAAACCCCTGAACAACCATGATTAGATTATTTTTATTCGCTCACCTGGGCCAGCGACGAACTATTTTAAAGAAAATAATTATTGGTGAGTCTGTTCCATCCGACCTCTTTATTACTGAATACTCAATCTAGCGTCATTATTTTTATTTCCTTCCCACACACTCCTGGTAAACTAACTTGTTGAGTAGCCAGACCACTACACTTTCACGTAATGGTTCACTTCGCTTTATTTGGCCATTTTTCCCGTGACTGGTAGGGAATCTTGCACTGTTCGCCTATCATCAGCTACAACAGATTTCCTGTAAAATCCTGCACTCAAAATTGTCTTTATGAACAGAAGGCAACAGCCAATAGCGTGTTTATTGATCATCCGCCTTTTCGGCAAACGTCAGGGCACCTACACCTCGTGACAGACATGCTCAACGTTACTTTCGAGAGAAACCCATGGCCACTAGGTTGTAAATGTTTATCCTATCGATTTAATAATGTTCCTGCATACTATCTTCTCATTCACTGGCCGCATTTATGGCCTGTGATGTGCCCGGTTGGTGTTCTTGACAATTCTACAGAAAAAAGTGGCAAACGCCTTTGTTGTGCATGATAAGAATGGACCAGAGGATGGTACGAAACTCGATATCAAAAATAATTAAGCGCCTGGCTCCCTGTGGTGAACACTGATTCTATTCTATTCATTCTGTTTAGTGTATTTTTATATGCTTTTGTTTTACGATGCGATATATAGTACGCCCGCGATATACGAGAATATACGTTATCCATTCGTCCATATTCGGACTTCTATACTACGCGTACATTCAGTAGTTAAGATACCTACCACTATTCTAAATATCACACTCCCTTTGAGAGTGTTTCTCTCATTTAATTACGGAAAATCGGTCGTTTTATTTCAGACAATTTGGCGCGGTTTTCCCGCATTATTCCAACTGATTTCCGAATATTCTGTTGAGCCTACGTCAGACTGCTTCTTGAATACTTTGACTGAATAGTCTAGTCAAGACTCACGAAGGACGCGACCCAAACTGGGTGGGTCAAACTAGCTGCTATGAAGCTGGTTGTAGGGCTCACATCCATTTGTTATCAAACATGTGGAGAGACCCCCAGTCCCTCCCCCTAGCAGTCGTTGCATCCAAGGTGATCCGACACCAACTCATACCTTATCTCAGCAAGATTATCCAGACAAGTTTTTCCGTTTACCATACTAATACACTCCATGGATATGCTGAAAAACATTTCGAGATTGTGCTACGCACTTTCATTGGACGACAATTTTCCTCACTTCTGGAAGTCGGTACGTGGAATAATCATCCTCGGACTGTGGTCCACACTTGATCTAGGATTCATCTCAAACAGCTTTTATGTGCCTTCTATGTTAACACTTATGCTGGCAGACTTATCGCCTAACAATGAATGCTTTGACAGATACCTGCTTTGAGAGCGATATTTCAGTCGTCTCTCAGGTGAACCAAAGCTGCTGAATGACCGATATAATCCCGGTCCTGGAGGCTTTGGCGAATCCCCCGATCCTGTAGGTGCTGTTCTTCGGCAGTGTACTGAGGGGCAGTGGCAAGTCACAGCATTTTAACTTGGGTGCTTGATGCCGACGGATCTGCCTTGCAGCGCTGTTGCCTGTGAGCTGTTAACCGTCTATTCTGCGATACGGCACTTTTCACAAATGTCGAAGTATTGAGTATTTACAGTGTTTACCCAGTAAGCCCCCCTGATTTATGCTCACTTGGCAGTGTCTTACCGGTACTTCTCCCGGTAATCCAGGTTACATTGCAATCTACGCCCGACACAAGGCACGGCACTAGTTGATGCCTTGTCACGAGTACATGTGATTAACATCTCACCACAATCCACTCTTAGCCCACATACCACAACTGCATCACAGGTCAGTTGTCCAGGGAACGAACATTTGCGCAACTGAGGCCCCTTCAGACAATGCTTGGTTTGGTCCCATACACCAGAAAGCTGACGTAGTGTTACGAGAAGGACACTGCCACTTTTGTTCTCTTCAGATATCACGTGTGGGTCTTGCTGCAACATCTGTCTTATCTGAAAGCGAACGCTTTATTTCGTTTGTTAACCGCACTTTTCGCACGGTTCAGGATCAAAGGAAATATCTGAAAATGACCTGGAGTCAACTAGGAGGTACGCAGACATGACGAGGGTTCTTCCCGTACTTTCGCCGTATTGGATGCACAAGTTCACCAAGTCCGTGTGGATATTGTCAGCCCATCTGCAACGCCAAGGGTGCAATATATACGGTAACTTGCACCCGCTGGCATTTTTGGTAGCGAGGATCATTCTCAATACCTGAATGCACCGCATAAACGGTTGTCTTCACATTTCTGGAGCTCTGTGTTTCTTCATTCTGGTGTTCTGTAATAGTTACTACAGAAGAAATGTCCCGGTTTTTGTGCAGCTTTCGACAACTTATTCACGCCCTAGACCTTAAGCAAGTCGGGGCAACAGCTTATAATTTACAAGCTATTGGCTTTCATATTCAGCTTAGTAAAGTACCGCACAAAACCCTCGCAGCAATAGGCTCTGCCCTTGGCCCGTTTTGGCCTCTGAAACTATGTGGTGACTGATTTACACGCATCTGTGGCGCAGTTGTCCTGCGGATGGCCCTCTAGTTCCTTGTAGGCTGGTTGCCACCATATATTCTTCGGCTTTTAGCCACGGCTGCCTCCAAGACCACATGCCTTGAATCAAACTAACCATCACCATGGAACGGCCGACCTTTGTTTATTTAGTTTACAGTCTACAAACAGGCTCGGGGGCCTTGTTAGAACAGAAAGTACAATGACCGCCGTACCAACACACACCGATTCTCATCCACAGGACAGAGAACTAGTTTATCATCGACACATTTGGTGAGCGTCGGTTAATGTCTATTGATGCACGGATGCCTGTATATTTGAAAGTGACCGATTTAAGTACCTCACCTGCAGCATCGTGTGCTGTTGCCTCAAAAGTGCGTCTCTAACAAACTGAAATTCTCCTCCTGTGGGTTCTGCCCCTACCACGACATTGATCGGCAAACTTGGCCGAGAAGTTCATCCACTTGTTTATTTCCCTGGGAAGGTAAGTAGTTTTATGCAATACTTTGTTGCTGTTCAATCAATTATTCGTGTATATCTCCATGGCAAACGGTCTATGCCGTTATTTTTCACTCAACATATGAAACAATGACAAAGCATACATAATCCGATGCAACTGGTTCGGCAAGGATTCAACGAACAGCACCAGGTTACGGAACTACCCTGCTTGGCCTCAGTTCAGCATAGAATATTTCCTCACGGACGCGCAACAACGGGATACCAGTCATCAGACTTACTCGCGTTTCACAAGAGTGAAAGAGGCGACGCACGCAAAACCATGACTAAATAGGGACACCGATGTCTGGGGCGATAGCCAAGGCTGCTGAGTAGATAGATGAAAGCCTGCTGTACTCTGTTCCTCGCGGCGTGTTCACCACGACCAGCTAACACAGGGCGTTAGTGTTTCTTTGAGTTTGACCTGATTAGCTGGCGTTGTTACTTTTTTTGCCCGCAAGGAAGGCATACACTCAGTGGACTCTCTCTCACAGAACATGGATTATTGTGTGCCGAAGCTTGGCTCGGTTGGGCAAAGCTGCATTCTTCGTTTGGCCTACGACTCGTCGTTCCTACCTCACATCAGAGATTTGGTGCGTTCAATCGTTTTTGTCATCCAGAGAGCGGCTTCGACCTCACCCTGTGAACCGAATCGTTGTCACTGGTTAAGGCCCTACTGCCACCCACAAAAGGCAGCCCTGTATGCAGCTACTGACTAATTTGTCTGTGATTTATCTTTAATCAAGCACATAGCGCAGCTTAATTTTGTAATCTGGCGAAGATTTGTCATCCTAATATCGGGCTTTTCAAACATATGCGGTTTGAGATTGGGGAATTATGTTTTATTTGAGTTTAGGTCGTGTGCCGCCAAAGTGCTTTTACCATTTTGTCTCTTGTGTACGTTGGCGCACGCTTTGTTCACTTATTGTTCTAGCTGCCTCCAAAACTACAAAATATTGTGTTTATATTACTACGTCTTGTTTTATGTATCCTCCACATCGCAGTACCGGTTTGTCTGGCATTAGATCAAACCATTTCTGCGCATGACTCAGTATTTTGTTATCCCAGACCAAGGACGGCACCGTGCCGGACCCCTCAACTAGTGGACATACTGGTTCATCAAAATGACCCACCCCAGTTGAGAATTAGATCAGAATAAGAATTATCAGTGAAAGTAGCCTAATAACCGCGAGCATGTTAGATGGTGGCAGACAACGAAAGTTGGTCAATCGGTTCGTCAGTGAACTGTTCCAGGTGGTACGGAGTAACTCGCACTAGCGAGATGGTGACCCGTGAGTTTCTTTTGGTTATGGAGCCGCCCGAAGTGCCTAGTATTGATAAGGAATATACGGATTGAAAGTTAACGTCGCAACGTTGGCACGCAGCTATTTCAAGTGAATTGTCAACAGGCTACCGGGCATTGGCGGGAGGACGGTTTACAGAAGGGTTTTATTTGTGCACAGTGTCAAAGGTGGGACCGTGCTCCGAAGCATTCTCACCTATCGCAGTTAGGCGCAACAACAGCCAATAAGCTTAACCCACACCTGCTTGGTCAGAACATCAGGCTGCTTGCCGGCCCTATATCAAGATAAAATTGGTCGGGAAGCTGAACACGATAGTTAACCGTGTTTGAATATCCGCTGGATACCGGTTGTCCCTGTGTTGTTAGAAGGCGTCCGCATCTCCAGAATGTTGGTGCGTACACACTAGATACGACGGAGTGTTATCTTGTTTTTCAGCTTTTAATGCACCTTTTGCGAATCGGGTGTTTTCTCGCCAAAGATCCTAATTTGCGAGGGCCAGACAGGGAACTGAGCCAGGGCAGTTGCAAAAGCAGTTCGGCCGCTCCAAGTTTCAAAGCGGTAATGAAGTGGAGGTAAATGTAGCTGCTCACCAGAGGCGAACCCAAATTATTTTTGCTGGAACCAGTAGGTTTTCGAAGTTGCGATTTTTATGGGAGGTTCGTGTAATCTGTTTGCACCTTTTGGTGACATGCCGATCATAGGCCGAGTACAGTGGATGACAGCCAAACAGATCATCTATACTTAATATTGCCCAAGTTAAAAGCATGCGCTAGTATACGATACTGAGAACCGTATGATGGCAAAGAATTCCATATACGGTTTAATAGCAACTGCTCACCTTTTCCTTTCGGCTGTGTCCGATCGCCCCCTTGTTCCTTTACCTGCAACTACCGACAGGCTCTTTACTTGACGCCACCAGCTTCTAGAACACATTCGGTCCAATCTGCTGAACCTTCCATACGGTTTTTACTGACTCGGTAANTCCATACATACGGTTTTTACTGACTCGGTAACTTTCACTATATGTGCCTCACAGAGTCAGTGATTTTCTTGCCGTTTGCGCCCCCTGTTGTGCGTTAACACCAACTCTTCTCCAAAGGAAATTTTACACCCCACCCTACACCAGAGCGAGACTGGTAGGCCTCTACGGTTTCAATGTACACCGTGTTGCTGACATCGCTGCTACTATTAGTCCGTATTGTTAATGCCTACACTTCACCATCCCCAATCACACTTTTCATGAATCTTGCCATAAGCCAGGCAGTCCAAGGTGGCACTCAGTATTCGCACAAGAGAATTCGATTTTCGATATGTATGACGTGCCCCTGATGGACTGAGACAATCGAGCAACCGAGTTGAGATTACCAGCCCAAACTTTTATACCCCATTTAGGTATTCCGGGGTCTCAGGGATGCTGGGAACTTATCCCAGAGGACTTTCCAGTCAGAGGCATCGTTGCCTCACTGAACGATGGAATTTGGTGACCTGCAAAAATTTGAAATCGGATTAGGATGGTGAGCAGATACGAAACAAAATGCAACATTCTGACGTAGAAACTTCTACTCCACTTCTAAGTAGTTTGCAGCTGAGAGCATGTGCAGGCAATGGGCATCGTCCAAGGTCAAATGGCCCCAGCGGCCGCGTCATAAAAGCGCACCCAAAATTTATCTGGAACGGTGGTCCGAAAAAGGACAAGTGTAACATAAAGTTTTGGCATTTGGTGGTAATTATTCGGGTGCCCAAGATATCCCGCATCGGCCACAGTTATGTTCAAAGCTGTCCATACGAAGTCGGAGTGCGCTTTGGGCGTGGAAGTCGTATTTTATTGGCTGCCGGTGGCTTCACCTACCGTCTGTATGAAAACGGTGAGAAATTTTGTGGAACAGTTGGTCTTTTCGCGCGTTTTCTTACTCAATAGATTTGTAAATAACCTCGAAACGACTTAGACAATGATTACCCACATTATGTCCGCGCAAACTCAAATTGGAGTGGACATTCGCAACCTGGATGAAAAATTCTATGGTTGCGGCCAACGTCCCGCTGAAGCTGAGGAATTCGTCAAGGCTAGTAAGTTTTTTATAATAATAATAATGTTTAATCTCAACCTGTGGGTTGCATACCCTCTGGCATGATCATACGTTTGCGGTCAGAATGAGGCGTTACTGGGGGGTTTTCAGGTAGTGGGGATCGCCCAAAAAGAGGTCAGTGTCATAAACGGTAGGAAGCATTTGATGAATTGGTAATAATAGGTTTCTTTTCAGCTTGTGTGGAACGTTGGGCATGAGGTCAGAAAAGCTCAAACGCCTAGCCTGCTGACACAAACTAAAAGGGAAAATCCATTGCTGGCCATGAGTGACCTTGGGCGGTGGGGCACTGGTGGTAATTGGTGGTCAGCATACGTTATATGAGGCTTGGGGCAATGTTTGATCTTCACCGGTACACCGAGTCACTAATAGTGACGTTGGCTTAACTATTGGGTTTGTGGGCAGAGCAAGCAGACAGTACAGTGAGATAGCCGCTGCTTTCAAGTTTTTACACAAAGTAAACGGACTGAAACGGTCTTCTGGGCAACCCGCTCGTCTGGAAAATATTAGAGATATAGTAATTACAGGCAAGCCATCATACTGGGTATGGTAGTCGCGGTACCTTCATCGCGGCGTCGTAATTCGGTTTGTGGACAGCCCCGTAGATGAACATGTTGGATGAGCCGCTTATAGTTGCCATTGTAGTTGGGATATTCCTTGGTCTATAAAGGGTTTGTCGTGGTCCATTGCTACCATTCAAACAAGGTAATAAGACAGCCATGCCTACATTGGGGACCCAGAATAGGAAAGTGTCCGAAAGGTTTGCTAGAAAGCACCCTGATGTGAGTTAAAATGCCTCTTTTATTACAGAAGGGCAATTATGAGGTTCGTCACGCGGAACTAGTATATTTTGGAGAGAGGGCATGCAATTGAACTGAGAGTCGTCAACCGTGCAGACTTATGAATCGTCGCGGAGAGGAGATGCGGAAGGAGCGGATGTGTTACGGAAATGCATGGGGAGTTCCGGAAGCGTTCGTGCATAAAGCGGTGTCCGTCGATAGCCTCCTGTCCCCATTATCACTCTATTTCGTGATCGACGAGATAATGAGGCGAACGCTGCAATGCCTTGGGAAGTTTTCACATCGGAAGGAGCGGATGTGTTACGGAAATGCATGGGGAGTTCCGGAAGCGTTCGTGCATAAAGCGGTGTCCGTCGATAGCCTCCTGTCCCCATTATCACTCTATTTCGTGATCGACGAGATAATGAGGCGAACGCTGCAATGCCTTGGGAACATGGTTTTCAAATATATTCTGTCAAAGGCTTGCCGATCTTGACTGTGTAGACATTGTTCTCATCTCCGAAGAGGGGAAAAGGTGCAGGTGACTTTAGATGACCTTGCCGAAATCATTCTGTCCACTGGTGGCCACTTCGTGCCCACAAAGTGTCACGTTGTCATCAAGATGTTTATTCTTAACAAGTGGTGGGCGTGCCGTCAGGCATGATCATAGGGTTAGTCAGAATAAAGCGTTGGTTTGTTCGTTTTTGTGGGTGATGAAACAAGTGGGCAATAGAGTAAGAGAAGGGTCAAGAGAAGAAAAGGCATAGTTGCGGATGTTCTATCAAACTGAGTACAGAAGTACGATGCCATAATTGCTCTAAAATACTTCGGTTTCTTGACAGCCCCGTGACGGATGTCATTTTTGAGATAATTTTGCTTGGATGTGCAATTCTGTGAGGAGGGGGGTATTTATGGTTGGCCGATGAAATCCTCACAGGCAGAACAAAATAATATAAGATCGCAGCCACTTTTACGATCTGGTGCAGCGTTTTATAAACATTCGAATGTTTATTTGTTCTGATGCTACTGTGACAGATGAGGTCAATGCACGAACCTGCAATGCTCTGATCGCACTCGCTAATTTCAACTACCTATGGCGCCAAGGCAGTATATCTGTGAATATCAAAAAAGTGTATATCAGGCTGCAGCACGGTTGTCTGAAAACCGTAGCTTGTATGGGTTGGTGTGGCCAAATCACACGTACATGGCGATTTTCGTTGCGCGCCAGGGATTTCCGTTGAATAATGTGTCCTTGCAGTCTCCAGCTAAATCATCATCATTATCTGGGACAGCTGGATCGCATCAGCTCTGGCTATCTTTCCGGCTTATTTATTCGGATATGATTTTAGAAGTGAAGATGGGCTGCAATACTTCAACATGAACGATGAGTTCGATGAATCCCAGAAGTGTGCCCTTTTTGGATAGATTGCTACCATTGTTGAGTATGTGATGGTTAGAAGTTTTGATGAGGAAGACCGAAGTGTCGATTTTGTTAAGCTACTTTGTGTCGGTATCAGGGAGCAGAAGTCGAATGAAGTTGAGATTTAGAGCTCTAAACGAGCAGATTTAACACCAGGCACCCTCCCACACGTCAGATTCTCGCTACGTGTGCATCTAGGGATGCACATTTGAGGACGCGTGCGGCCCTGGAATCTTGAGGCTTGAGTCTACACCACTTGGTCTTACGACTGACAAGTAAACATCCCTCGTCAGCTTTAACTTCGAGGCATTCGATAATGCATAGGTTTGCCGGATCTCGCTATCGAATCGTGTACAAACGGGATATGATTTTAGAAGTGAAGATGGGCTGCAATACTTCAACATGAACGATGAGTTCGATGAATCCCAGAAGTGTGCCCTTTTTGGATAGATTGCTACCATTGTTGAGTATGTGATGGTTAGAAGTTTTGATGAGGAAGACCGAAGTGTCGATTTTGTTAAGCTACTTTGTGTCGGTATCAGGGAGCAGAAGTCGAATGAAGTTGAGATTTAGAGCTCTGAACGAGCAGATTTAACACCAGGCACCCTCCCACACGTCAGATTCTCGCTACGTGTGCATCTAGGGATGCACATTTGAGGACGCGTGCGGCCCTGGAATCTTGAGGCTTGAGTCTACACCACTTGGTCTTACGACTGACAAGTAAACATCCCTCGTCAGCTTTAACTTCGAGGCATTCGATAATGCATAGGTTTGCCGGATCTCGCTATCGAATCGTCAGTGTACAAACGGCTCCTTCGATATCGCCTTTTGGACCAATTCAGCAAGTAGTGGGTGTACCTTCATAACAGTAAGTCTCCAAGTTCTGCGTGGAACTGTGGACAAAGAGACTCATTAAGTCATCGGTGAGTTAGACATTGCAACCTTGTTCAATTGTTCCTTTTTAAATGATGTCGTGGACAATATGCATGATTGTACATTTTTTCAGAAATCCCGCCGACTAAAAAGCTGAGAACTGGATTGACCACACATTATGTTTGTATCGACGCAACGTCGCAGGCTATTGACACACCCAAATTGAGTTCGCCGAAACTATAGGGTTTTCGAAGTTGCTATTTTAATGGGAAGTTAGTCTAATCAATTTGCATCTTCCCGCGATATGTTGCACGTGGCATTTTGCTTAAGTGAGCGAAATGTCAAGGTCATCGACCATCGCCGATTTGTATTTTTTGCCGGTTTACGCGACATAAAACACGAAATCACACTTTAGCATATTTTGGCGTTCTTCGGTGTTCCTGAAGAATGAAATAACATCTTAAGAGTAGTTAGTGCAAATGCCACCCTATACGATCTGTCGCAGGCGTTTGTTTGCTTTAGACAACTCAGATTAAACAAATGGAATATTTTTGTTTGGTGAACCTGCTCACAAGACATTTTCCCCATGGATCTCATGTTCCATTAAATGCAATAAAGTTAGATAACAGCACAATCTAGCAGTGGCAGTGCGAGGGACATCTGTGGATGATCCCCTTTCCCAGATATGCATAACTAGATTGTAGATAACAGTGTTACCAGAATTCTGTGGGCGTCTTTCCTATTATAACTATTATAACTATGACCACCAACCATGAAGCGGTCACCACGATGACGGTAGCCGCTCTCTCTCACCTCGACTACCTATTGTAGCTGCTGGATCCGTGTCTACGCGCGACGCTAATTAAGGTTCCCCACATATGCGCGGCAGCCCAATCCAATGAGCAACGACGGCCCCTTGTACTCGTGTCTCCACTAGTATTCACTCATCTCGAATACTTGTTGTAACTGCTAGGCCCGCGTTTATGTGCAACGTTGATAA